AGAACCTTTCAATCTTACAAAAAGAGCCATTCCTCCAGAGAGGAAAAGTAGAATCTCCAAAGAGCCAAAAACTATTTGGAAACTTTTAAACAGCTTCTCTCCACAGTGACAATTTTTAGCATTACCATTTAAAACACTCGAGGGACCAAAAAATTAACGAGCTCAAAGAAATAACTTTATAATTGATACCGATCAAAGTTGGCAAATTCAAAAAATTTGAAATGACAGTAAACCAATTCTTTCTTGTTTTGAAATTAATTTAGAATTTTAGCATCTTTAGGCCTATTTTAAGTTATTTATGTATCTACCTATATGTCTGTATGTACCAATCAATTTCTTCCTACCTAATCTGTCTTACCCATGCTTTCTCTTTCTCTCTCTCCCCCTTTCTAAAACAGTGAGTAAAAACTGTTAATAGAGAGTTTTCAGAATGGATAGTTGTAAATAGAGGAGTTCCACAAGGATCAACGTCATCATCCTTATTTTTTTCCATATATGTCAACCAAATATTTATTATATTTAAAATTAGTTCATGTGTTTGCTGATGATCTATATACAGAAAGGCAGCAAATTACAAAATATTGATGAGCCTGTACAAAAATTAATTAAAGATTTAAAAATGTATATCAGAATGGAGTAAAAATCATTGATTAAAATTGAATCCAAATAAAATTTCATGGATAATATTAGAAACCGCTCAACATAGTAGCAAAATAAATAAAATGCCAATAGAAATAAAAATAATTCTTGATAGAACTAAAAGTTGGAAAACAAGTAAAAAATCTTGGTGTTTACATTTCATCAAATTTGGATGGGCAGAAACGAATTTATATCATTAGACAAAAAGCATTTGCAACTAATGCTATAAATTACTTGTTAAAATATTAAACTATTAACCTAAAACTACATTCATACAAAGTGTTAATAAGACCATATTTAATGTACTTTTTACAAATTATATCCAATGTAAATTATAACAATATAATGAGTATAGAAAAATCATAAACACTCATGTAAGTTACATACTTAATCTTAAGTATGATGCCAGATTATATGATAAATTTAAGATACTTAATATTTTAAAAATCGAAGATTTTCAAAAATTGGGTTGAATTGTAAGAGAGAGTCGTTCATAACATGTAATACACCATTAATTTCACCAAAAATACGATTTCTTCACCACAAAAATCTATATATCTACGTATTATCTATCCATCGATGTGTATCTACTCTATCATCTATCTAAATTTTTTATGTGATTTTAAAATAAATTTAGAATTTTAGGATCTTCAGGCATGGTTTCCTTAACATTTCATCTTCACTGACTAATAATCATCTATCCATAAAACTATGTATATACGTATTAGCGTTCATATCGATATATAATGCTTTCTCTCTCTTTACGTGTTCTTTTGTTTTTAGTGTCCAATAATTTAATCAAAAATGCATCCGTATACCACCCTTCATTAACAGGTTGACTCAAAATTATAATTTAGTCCACCCAATTTTTTTGCTTCATAGTAATACACTAATTTCTCAATTTTACGTAACTACTTTTGACTGCGTCACGTTGTTACGCCTTTTCGGAGAAACCTTATGTTCACATATGTCCCACATTCAGTTTATGGGCACGAGCTGGTGGGCAGCATGTTCAACGATCTCATAACCGCCATAATGTCATTCGGCGCAAAGACGGCCGTTGACCGAGGATCTGTATGTCATTTATGAATCCTTTAATCAAGTCTGACATGTTATTATTGTATAATCACATTTTAAAGTTTTAATATAAAGTCGGTGTGTAGTTTGCAGTTTTATTGAATTATTGCTTGTTCGGCGTCGAGAACATTCTGAATGTGTATCTCTATTTTAAACGATTGTCCTTTTTCTCTTTTTCTTAGCGATAATTGTCAGGAGAATCTGAAGAAAATTAAAATTTAATATTCTAACACTGCAATAACAGCCAAAATATTTGTTGTAAACCAAAATTATCCTTTGTCAATCTCCTGTCAAATTATTAACTTGTTCGCTTTACTCCTGCAGTTAGCGAAGTGGTTTGAACGAGAGGGATTTAAAAGAAAGACTGTTGCTCAGTTCCATGGTGTTTCGAATCCCAGATTTTATAAATCAGGGTGTTGCTTATTTCCTGAATATTGCAAAATTAGTCGCTTTGGTGAAAGCTAACTTTTTTCCTTCCCGCTCGACAGTAAAATTAAAAAAAAATCTTTTTTCCTTGGCGCAATTAATGATCGAGCTTTTAATTAAACGAAATGTAAAACTTAGAATATTTCGAACTGTATAATTTCTTAAGGTTTATCATTGAATGTTGGATTTTAAGCCTTTCTTCGTTTTACCATCACGTTTCCTCATCACAGCGGATCTTAAATCTTTACAGTTTTCCCCCTTGCAAAGTTCATATCTTAACTTAATTAACGTAATTTGTTGTTTTTCAGCAGTATACGATTTAACCCGTGTCGAATTTGACATCGACTGTTGTTCTGGTTGAATACTAAACCATCGGGCACAACAAAATTGAAGTCATTCTTTCAAATCGCAGATTCCATACGGTGCATCTGGGCAAAAAAGGATTATCTTTCCATCTAGGTAGTGGGATAAGGACAAGAAATATGGCTGACTTTGGATTACTTTCACCTTCGCCACACCCTGTCTCGACCTTCGTCATGAAACATGATCAGATCTAGTAACAGCTGTTTAATTTGCCGACTGTGTTCCCAGTTCCACGCTTTGATATGCGCTGTTTATGATTTGATATCTTATCGTATATTTTTAAGATTTGATTAGAAAGATTTTGTATGCCGGGGAAAAGAAAATCGATAAGAATAAACCCAGGTTCTGAATGATCAACCCCCTCCTTCAAGGACCCTGTTTAAAGGATGTACCAGCACTATCCCATGTTTCTATGCCCATTCAAAAAATTAAACAAACGGATTTTTCACTTTACTTCGCTGGTCTTGAACTGGCGTCAGCAGTCTCTTCGGTGGGCGTTGTGGAGGAGAGTGTGGAAAATTGTTCAAGGACCTTCGAAGTACCCCTGGCCAGCGGCGGATAATACAATATAATTTGGCCAACCCGTTGTTTAAGACAAAGGAAGACCATCGCTTTGTCTCACACTGCCCCGTCTCATCATCTCGAGCTATTTTCATCATTCCTTTCATGTCGAAAACAATCAAAACTTCGATAATAATGACTAAATTATTACTGAATTAATTTAATAAATTATTATTAAATCCTTAAGCTGAAAAGGTAGAATCGCAGACTTCCTCGTTGTCTACTGAATTATTCTCTCAATAAACATTCAATTCTCATTCGAATTGTACGGATATAATAAGATTCCTAAGAAGGTTGCAAAAGAATTGCGTAGTTTTGATGGCGATAAAAGGTCCGGGAGGCACAAGGCCATGGCTCAACAACAAAGAGGCGCCTGTGAGCAACAATATCGTCATCCTCAAGAATAACTGCTGGCTACCGCCCTTGGTCCAACAAGGCGTTCAGAAAGCGTTTTCGTTTTCAGCACAATTCAAATGTATGAACAACCTTGGACCGTGCAATGTATCGATTTTAAGCTGGTTTTCTAGGATCCGAGATGGGCTTTGTTTCACGACTTGTTTGTTAACATCTCCGCTTTTAACTTCCGATTGGGAAATTGAGAGAATCGGGTGGAACTGTAAGCATCAGCCTATTTTGTTTTTTGGTACATCATCGCAAATTTAAAAGAAAGACCGGACTATTGCTCAGTTCCATGATGTTTCGAGTTCCAGATTTTATAAAACCAACCACCAGCGCGTAGGAATGCCAATTCCTATGAGAATAATTCCTATATGAGAATAATTCTTGAGCACTGCAACGGTTTCTGGGTCCCCTGTTCCAGTTTTTGGAAGAAACAGGACTGTTTTATTGCATATAGTACCTACCGTGTGCTGATAGTGAATGCATTTATTAGTGTGAATGTGCAGGGTAAAAGAGTCGATGGTAGGTTATTGAGTTTCGACCCTCAATAAGTTAGTTATATACGAGGTGAAAAGAGTGATGATATCGATTACTGCACCACCTAATTGAGTAAATGGTATGTAAATAACAGTGTATGTGTTTCAAAATGAGTAAGAGTTTGAATTGATTTGAATCTAAGAACTACATGCATTGACCCAGCTGTTGAGAGCACACTCAGAGCTCGGTGGCTGGACGAATAAGACTGAGGTCTGCCCCAGAATGAGATCATTTATTGTAAATTTACAATAAATGACAAATGCTGGAATTGCCGTGGACTATGAGAAGTGATAGGCTCAACTCTGCGCGTGTGCCGATTTGAACTTAAATAAATCCAAATCCTGAAGGATAAATTTAATAACCAGACCTTCGTTTATTTGATCAAAATCAATCAAAGAGAGAGACTTCGTTTTGGCCAAATTTAAAGGATAAATCCAATAATCAGGCGATTTTGTTTAGACAACGGGGTAATGAAACTGTACTTCTGATCTGGCTATTCTAGGAGGTTTGGTCTGTGTGTTTCCCTGCAAGAAAATATGACAATCCAAACAAAGACAACCAAAGTAGAGATGTATTTATTAAAAGGCGAGCGTAGAATAGTAGTATGTACATTAAAAATGGAATAGACTGAATAACAACCTCGGCTAGGTAATAGATATGTAATGAACAGTTAACGATTATTATTTCAAACCACCGGCTAGATAAAATAAACTGTAATTATATAAATTATATATTCTATCTAAGAGACTATCTGCTAGATTAATGAGTTACCTTTTCAATAACCAATACTAGGTAATATAGTGTTAATATTACATAGAACTGAACGAATAATTTTTAGAACCCCGTGTCTAAATGAAAAATAAACGAATTTAAAAAATCTAAATCGATTTACATCGATAATTGATGTTTTCAACATGAACTTTTGGTTAAAATAGTTAATTTTTTATTATATTTGATATATAAAATTTAAAAAAAGAGTATAATATTTAAAAACTCACTGGTTGGAATTTGAGCTGCATGGATGCTGAGGAAAGTAGTTGCCTGAAACAACAATCATTTGATTTATTAATGCAATTGAATAAAGTGATTAGTACAACAATGAGGAAATGTGGTGTGCCACCTGTTAGAGAAAAAATTTTCTTATGAAAAATCGCTGGACAGCTTCGAATCTCCGAATCCCCACATCAGACACCCATAGCAAAGAATCATTCGAGACACAGTTAAATATATACAACTTTAGACTGATGGGGATCATGTTATGGGTCATAAAAGACGACCAGGTTTGATTCTTTGCCAATTTAGCTCTCGACGTCTTTGAGGAGACCAAGAAAGCCTGGGAATAATAGTGTGTGTGTGTTTTCTTCAAAAAACGTTTCTCAGTACCTGCGCCAAATAAGCAATCTTAACAAAAAAACATGGTTTGTCTGTTTTTGTTATTTATGACTTATTCTTTTTAATGGCCGAAGGTCGTGGGTTCGAATCCCGCTCGTGACACTAACTTTTTCATTTCAACCTTACATAAAGATTAGTTAATTGAAAGAAATTTTTTTTTGGTCAATCGGACCATGAAATATAATGGAATTATTTATTACATTAAGTTTTTTCATAACACCCAGAATAGGACAAACGGAAGGGAAAAATGCACAGACTCGTCCTTTTTATTCTAGTCGATTAACCTTTTACTGTCCCATCGATGAAAATTGAAAGATCAGGTGAGATTATTTTGACAGGATTTAACGTTCAAAACCGTTCCCGAAGAAATCATGTTTTGGCCAAGAAACTATCAAAAAGTCATGTAATTTTACAAGGGTTTAGTGTTTTTACCAGAGCAGTAACTCGCACTCACTACGAAATTCGTTCTCAAAAGAATAGATATTCTATAACAATGATACTCCGTCTTTAATGTTGCAAGACGATTTTAAAAGTAAAACAAGAAAGGCGTTAAGTGTGAGAATCGATATTAACGAGAACAATGGCCTATGGGAAATACTTGTTGCCGTAACTGTTGTATCAATTTTTCAAGCTGTTTCTCAACTGAAATTGCTGATTTTGGTTTTAATCTGTGTCCGCCCACTAGGGAATTGGCAGTTTTGAGAGATATCTCTGTCAGAATTGACACCTCCGATTAAAAGAAAATGAGGCGTTTTGGAAATATCGAGAATGAAAAAGGACATCAATCCATCAAAATGTCTACCTGCAAGATTTATACAAAGAACATTCAGGTTTTCCAAAAACTTTTTTATATTGTCAAATGTCAATGTATTCTGTATAAACAACACACTGTATAACATTCAACAAAGAGATTAATTTTTTTTTTAGTTAATCTATTTATGCTTTTTGAAATGCTCTTGTGGACCAAAATGATAGCAAATGATCAAACTACAGATTTCCCCTCAAATATTGAGCACACCTCATGGTAAATCTCTCAAAGAGTTTATTATTAAATTGTAAAAGACATGAAAGTGTAAATCAAAAGTGAGCTAGAAAATGAAAAGTCAGAGTTAATAAATTAATGGTTACCAAAATAAATTTGTCTTTAGTTTTTTTTTTTGTTACCTATTGGGAAAGTGTATTTGTTCGTACCTAAAAAATTGGCAAGTCCCAATTATTGTAAATAAAATACAGGTGAGATTTGCAACATTAGCTACATCTCGTCTACACTCGCGGTTTGGTCCGCATATTGCTATGGCATAAACATGGGAGTGATGAAATCCCCGACCCTTCTGACAGTCAAAGCGAGGATTGGCGGAACAGGTTGCCCAGAAACGAGCCCGTAGTATTCTTTATTTTTTTCCCAATTTCCATATTTGCATTATATTATTATAAAGAATAATAATAATAACAATACTAGGGACAGGGCGTCGGTGGCCACAACGTTTTAGGCTTTGACACGGCGCTCATCACTGGAAGGTAAAGGTCTCGGATAAGAATCCAGCGGCCCTGCATTCGAACCCGACATACTTACAAAAACATCGGCACCCCGACAGTTGAAATGACCTCTGCTGTTGTGTACCCTCGTAAAAAAACGGTCTAGGCGTTGACAATGCGCTCTTCACTTTAAGGTAATGGTCGGGGGGGGGGGGAGAAAACCAGCGGCCCTGCATTCAAACTCTACATATGATTTCTGCTGTTGCGAACCCACTCAAAAAAAAGTTTATTTAAATAAGTACATTACAGCAACAAATGTTGAAGTCGTGAGGAGAGGTCAAGAATGTGGCAGTTTAGAAAAACACCTTTTTCATTTTTTTGCGAACGTTTCGACCTTTAGTCGGGTCATCTTCAGGACATAAAGTGTGGTGTTATTCTTATGGTGACGGCAAAAAAATGACAAAAGTGTTTTTCTAAACTTCCTCATTCTTGACCGCTCCTCACGACTTCAACAAATGAAACAACAGGTCCACAAAGTACACCATGCTAAATACCGTCTGCCGATATTTTTCTTATTATACAAAAACAAAAATATTACTTTACATAGCCAAACTTTTACTATTTGTGTAGTACGTATAATTATGTATTTTTATAATAACAAACACATAATCATTCTGAACATCGCAATGGCCTGTTTTTCGTTATGCATTCGGTTTAATTTCTCACCTTCTTTCTACAGAACCATGAAAAGGACATACGAACGAGAAAACACACAGACTCTATATTTGATGACCCGGTTATTGTACCATAAAGAAACGTCCAAAACATATAGCTTCGTTTTTGCACCCCAGTAAGAAGTTCGTTTTTTCCTCTTGGGCAAAATTTCCAATCACAACAAATTTTGTATTACCATCAAAATTCCATTGGATACAGTTCACTCAAAGGACACCAGAAAATATCATTTCAATTCCCGCAAATTTAGTTTCTCCTTATTTCTCATTAGTTTATCCTTCCTTTTCACCTTCAACGGTAGGTCAACTTGGCTCTCAATTACAAATACAATCCATTAAAGTAACTCCCTTATTTTTATCTTTTTATAACCTTAACCAGCTCGAACATTTTGAGAAACACATAAATATTAATTTAAAAAAACTTAAAATAAAACATGCAAGAAATATTTCTTTTTAAAATCTAAATAAAAAATGTTTATTGATTTCTTGTTCTAAAGATAGGATCAATGAAACATACTTTATTATATATTGTTTTCTAAAAAAGAGAATACAGAGATAAATAGCACCATGTCTATTTTTATATTTAAAAAAAATCTAATACGTCTCAAACTATTTTTTACTTCGTCTGTGCTAGTGTATTTTCTTACCTTCTTTTTAGAACGGTCCCCTCCCAGAAAGGACAACCATCAGAGAAATATGCACAGAATTTATTAAATTAGCCGTTTTTATACAATAAATAAGCATCTAGAACTTATCAATATGATTAATTTTACAAAAGTTAAGCTACGAGAAGCATTACTATTTTACTTAAATAAAAAAAGTTGATTGTTTTCTGTGGTTCTAAGGTTAAGTTAATGACTAAATATTTTTGTTAAATATAAATTTTTTTCTATTCGTTTATGTATTATTTAAAAAAAAATATTACTTTGTCTTTTCAAACTCAATTTAGTGTCAAATCCCAGTCAACATTAGACTGTTTATTCTCATTATACATTAAATGTAGTTTCTCAACCTTCTTTTTGTTGGACCGAGAACAAAAAATGAAAGAGAAACACACACACACAATGTTCCGTAAATAAACGTCAAAGATCTTATATAATGATTAATTACTAGGAATATAGTAATATGAACTAAGTAAACCCATACTAAACCGATGTTCTAATATTTGTATTTGTTTCTCTATTGTTTTGCACGAATGTAAGTGTCACGATACCTTTCCAAAACTTTTATGAATACGTGCAGATGTTTTTCTATATACATTTTACTATTATAATCTATCTACCGTTTCATTTACACTACCGTGTTCTATTTTTAAGATTATTTACTATCTATATTATTAAGATTCAGTTTTATCGAAATAGGTCAATAATTTCACTCTATGAGTCACGTGGTTGATGAATAAACTCGCGGGAAAAACGCACAGACTCGGCCATTATTCGATCCATTATTATATCAGAGTAATTATTTATATTTTAAAGTTTAAAAATCTTTTAAAAGACAAGTTCCTTCCTCAAAACAGCATTTTATTTATAAAAAATAACATATATACAGGTGTTCTGGAAAAATCCCATTAGAAAGGGGCTATTCACGTAGGTTGTAAAAGTAAGAACGCCTGCGGAGGCGAATTACGAAACGAAAGGACGTCAGAGACGGGGTAAAGCCCCTTATCTAATGCCTTAAACAAGCGTAGATGGCTTTGAATAGGGAAGGTGACATCTATTCATGTATCTTCCGATGATTTTCACACCATTGATCTCAATTCTATTGACCACAAACAAGACTTTTCACAGCGTCGGTCACAATTCTCCGTTTTCCTAGTAGCTCCTTGTACTTCCTTTTGACAGGAAAAAAAAGAGAAAAGTAAACAATTCTAAATCGGTGTGGCAGTTAATTTGCCCCTATTGGCGTCTCCTCCGAGGAATGCATGTTTTACACAGAGGAACATTTACAAGGAAAACCTTGAAGAAGACATTCTTATTAGGAAGTGTGAAATTTCATTAACACGAAGACAAAAATCTTCAAAAGTTTGTACATGACGAACAGTAGCACCGAATACTTTACATTTAATTTTTGAGTGTATCAAACTTTCAAAAGAAACCCGATAGAAAAGGCTTTTGTCACCATTTTGTGAAACTTACCAACATAACAAGTAAAAACATACAGAAATATTCAGGAGTACAATCTATAAATATATATAAAAACAATCTATAATATAATGACTTTATATCCTATGGATCAGCTTGGCATCGATTTTCACTCTTCGTCGAACAAAAGAACATTAATTTAACCTCCCTCTCCATTTTGATCCTTAATAAATAATATCTTTAAAACATATAAAAAATTGATGTGATAAAAAGGTTAAAAATGATGTTTAAGATAATCTTAAAAACAAAATTTTTTACATGTCTATCTTTTAAATGTTTAACTTTTCTCTATACTTTG